TGTACAGACGTTTAAAGAGTTGTTTACATGACGTCACAATGTAGCGCCAAACAGCGCGTGCTTACGCATAAATTACTGCGCGCTGTACAATTGCAGTTGGTAGCAAGCAAGGGGATTCGTTACCATTTTCTTTGATAATAAAATTAAATAAAAAGGTTATTTTTTCGTTTTTTTTGTGAAATATGGTATATATTTTCACTCAACATGATAACATGCCACATATTTTCACTCGCCGTACCGGCTCGTGAAAATATGTAGCATTTTATCATGTTTCGTGAAAATATATTCCATATTTCACGCAAACGAAAAAATATCCTCTTAATATAATAAAGTAGAAGTATAATGGCATTTTGAAAGACCTTCTAAATTGCCTTTATAAATCCTTATGCAACAGAAAAGTTAAAAAAAAGTTGTGTTAATGTTTTATTTTTAAGACAAACGGTTGCAGACCTGCAGCAAACATAAAATTTGTTCCATTATATATTACCTTTGATAGGAATATAGTTAATAAATTAAGAAGCTTTTGAGAAATGAAAATAAAAGCATTTCTGAGGCACTATAAATGGGCCTTTAATAAAATATTATTTGAGATCATGACATTGCATCTTGGACAAATAAGCCGACTTGAGAACAACAAGGTGCAATAACATTATTGTTTTACCTATCTAATCAATGTACCCATTGTCATCATGAAAATAAATTGTGCGGATATTGAAAACCGGGTTAATTTTATTTGAAAAAGAAAAACAACACCCAAATATAACACCTTGATATATCTTTTTTTTTAATCTGTAAACAAACACAAATCTTAATAACCCTTAATCCTCAAAAACTGTAATGTTCCAGCTATACAAATAGAATAAAATGCTGTAATAATGCAAACTTTAATGTTATGTAATCTTATATCATCATTACCATATACCGTATTTTACCTAATTATTGTTCACATTTAAAAATTAAAAAGTTCTCTGTGCCAAAAAGGTACTAATAAATGTGATTTAACAGAATAATATAAAAAAAAACTAATTTTCTGATTTCTTTGTGACATGTAGGCCCAATATAGGCACGGTAACCCAGCTTGAATGTTATTTTCCTATTTCTGTTTTATTTTAAGTGCCCCAGCTGATTTAAGTTTAAAATTCAAATTTTACATTTTTTGGCTTTTGAACCTTAGTGGAGTTCCTTTAAATTATTTTTTCAATTTGTGTTTGTATTACTGGTGTACTATATACACTTCACCATAAATCGGCTTTGCTTATAAGTCTAGGGCTATATTCTAATATTACAAGCTATTATTAAGCTTGACCCTTTTATAAATTGCAAACCTTTTTTATTTCTTCTGCTAAAATTAAACTAAATGCCATTCTATCTTTAATTTACCAACAGACAGGCTACTGGAATATTCTTGGTAACTGATTGCTAAATTATTTTTTAAAGAGCTATAAATAAGAGCCATGCAGTGGTTTTCTAAGGCCACAAATTGGTAAAATACAATAAAATATAAAGTTAGGATGATGGCTCCTGGCTAGTAAACTACAATTATGATTCAAAATATGAACATGACATTTAAGGTTTTAACTGAACACCTTCAATTGTTACTGAGATAGAAAGTGTTAGGTTAACCCTTAGCCTGCTGCCTGACACAGAACTTCCCCAGTCCAAGATGACTGGCATCTGTGCCATCTGTTAAGGGTCTCCACTGTATGCTATTCAGTCAGTTTATGGTTTTATTGTTTGTTTGTTTCATTTTACGCCTTTTCCTCAAACACCAACAGTATTTCAGTCATATAGGCGGGTAGTTTCCTAACCATCGTTCCTTGAGAGTTACACCAGCACTAGACTACCTTCCTCCGTGCTAAACTACCAAAGCATCTCCTGGGGATCAAACCCACGCCAGAGAGGTAACTGGATTAGAAGTCATCGACTCTAACCCCTCGACCACGGAGGCGGTGACATTTATGGTTTTATCAGACTGAAAGATGGACAAAATATGAAAAACAAGATCAACAAGGAAGTGCCACGTTCAATGAACACAACCCCTACACATTACATCAGGCTATTTAGGATATTTAGCATTGTAAGGGTTAAACCTTAACCAAAGCCAAAGTCAATGCAAGGTCGACTAATATCGACTCATTTATTTTAAAATAGTAACGGTAAAAATGAAATCTGACAATACCAGCCATAGTTCCATTTTCATAACACTTTTCCTATAATGAAAGGAAAGCCATATATTATACCAAGGTGCAATTTTCAGAAGGTATACGACAATAAAAAACATCACCACCCCCTGCTTAAAGTCTTTTACATTATGTAATATGCTACCGTAACAATTTGTTTACAAAACTACTTGTTTGGCTGGTAACTATATAATAGATCAAAGCTTAAGTACCAATTCTTTTCTTTGTAAATATTTATATTGACAATTGTTCCTTTGTAAATCTCATGGAGGGTATATGACCCTTTAAACAAGTCCATATTGCTGTTAAGAAAATAATATTTTTAAAATGTATTATATGCAAAAATATTTAATCAGAATGTCGACGATTTTGCAATGATATAGCAGATCTAAAGATAATAACCGTTTCTGTAATAAAGATTATGATTATACGATTATAGGGGGCCACTTCATTATAATTTTTGTCTTTTAAAGAAGCATGCATAAAAAATAAAACTTTTTGAAACATATAGCACAATTGGGAATAGACTGCAAATAATGATAAATGCAGTTTAAGTTATATCAATTTTAAAATATCTGTAATTTTTTTTTTCCGCACCAAAATAATATAGGTCATATGGTGCCTTTCAAGCTTTACTGGTAGAGGAATACCTCCGAGCATTATTTCAGCCACAAACTAGCGCCTTCGAATAGAACCACCGACATTCTGTAAGCTCTTTCACATGTAGAATCTGACGACAGAAGTCGACACAACAAATTTATTAATAAATCACTGGTTGTAGTAACATATTTACTGACTGGATCATATTTAGTTGTCAAACAACTGGTTTCTGTATTGTAGACTGTTAACTACTCATGTACGTCTTTATAATCATGGCACATATCTGATTGTAATATACTATAATACATGTAATTTAAAGTTACCCTGCAAAGATGATTATATAAACTCTGTTCTGTATTCGCCCCTGGGGTTACAGATCATAGTTAATGAAGTCTGTATAAGAAACTAATCTAGGTAAATACAGACAGACGGACAAATGGAAAGACACTTAATAAACTGAATGTCTTCCATTTAGTACATGTACATGATAAGAATTTGCAGTACAATATAAATATTTTCCATTGACACTCTCAACTGTAGCACGTTCAACATTGATAACAAAATAAAATTAGAAAATAAAAACCAAATAAAACAAACTATTTGTTTCCTTTCAAACAGGTGTGAAAAAGAATTAAGAAATAAATAGAAAACTGTCGAGGCTTTTTGTAAAATTAATGACTTGTTCTCGAACATTTGTGAATGAAAATTGCATACAATGCTTGATATTTTGTAGACCAATGTTACATAAATGTTACAAAATGTCAACATTGTCGAGATAAAACTATTTAACAAACATCAGACTGGTTTTTCAAAAGTGACAACCTGTCTGGGGTAGCATATAGGACTGGTTCTCAAAAAATGACAAACAGTCTGGGTAGCCTATCTCTGTCCTTCTCTAGATATTGCCCATTCAGGAAGCCTGACATTTTTATGTAAACAGTAACAAACAAAAGACCTTGGGTCTGTCCCGTGCAAGTGAAATATTTGCCATGACTGAATGATATTACACAGTACAACCACTTACCTCATATGATCATAATTATGATCAACTTTTATAAAAAAAAAAAATATTTTTATTTAAATTCTTGTTACAAACATTTCTTTCTATTTGTAAAGACATCTTGTTATTATCTTATGAAATTTATTGACTCCTATCAGATCTAAACTTTTACATATAAATTAATCATAACCAACTTTTTTTATTGGGTTTTATGTTGCACCAACACATAATAGGTCATAGGGCGACTTTCCAGCTTTACTGGTAGACGAAGACCTCAGTTACCCCACTGTGCCAAATGTTTCAGGCACTAACGGACACCTCAGTAGAACCGCTAATGTTCCGTAAGCTAGAAATCAATCATTTTGCATGATTTGTTAAGAATTTCAGGCATCTAAGTAGAACTACCAAACTTCCTGATGCTAGCTTGACTGAGCTCCCTCACAAGAAAGAATCCAAAGTTCGCTCCTGAGATTCAAACCCCAATAGTGACAGGCCAGTGGTTCAATGTCATTGACCTTAACCAATCTGGCAAGTTATTCTTATACCAATCAGACTCAAGCCCACTTCCTGAAGTTACCCAGTATTGATGTATTGTTATTAATAAAAATAGTGATCATGATCAACTTCAATTAGGGCTCAGACCCATGAACACCCTCCCCCGAGTTGCATGACAGGCCCATTAACCATTAGTCTATAATTACAATTAATAATTTTTGTTGGATTTTGGATTATACAGTTACAGTAGGTAGGTTATCATGGTGAACTTCAAGCTACCTTGTATGGAGGAAGATGGGAATAACTGATGACTTTATTTACATTGTATAATTATAGTGAAAGTTCCATTTTTGCGGAATTCACATTCGAGAAGGCGAGACAAATAATTATAATGTCCGCTTAATTTTATTTTGTCTCATCCAAACTTAAGTAGAACTATATGCCTCCACATGTACAGTGGTAGAGCTAATATGATGTTTAACCCTTAGACATGCTGGAACAAAAATGTATATATTCTGGCCTCCCTGTACATCCGTGCAGTCTGACCAGGATCTATACTATTGATCGACAATTTTAACTTTAATCTTGATACCCCTAAAAGGGCAGCTTGGCAAGTTCATCATATCAAGTCACATATATTTATTACCGCTACTTCCCTTCTACTCATCCAATAAATGGCAACTTCTTAAAAGAGCAAAATGAGCCTGGCTCAAAAATAAAATACCTTCTTTTACATTTTTATTTCTCTGCATATCTTTTAGTATAATATCAATATACACAATGTTTATATATATTAACTGCCATATCACAAAAAGAAATAATAAGAAGTGAAAACTTCAGTAGTCCAATGTCTTTCTAAAACACACACAGCAAAGGGACACAACCTATAAAACATTTATTATTTTTTATTTAACAGAGTAACTTACCTTGTTAAATCAACTTAGAACATAGTTATTTAATATATTATATAGGTTATTCAGTCATCATATAGGATATACAATAGTATATTATTGATAATGATAATAAAAATGAAAATATACTAGTAGATTAGTTTACCTTACAGGGTGTAAAATATGTATATCTAATGAATAATTTTTATAAAATTCATTTACAGTCAAATTATGTTGCTTCTTTAATCCTATGGTCAATTCTTGGAACAACTATTACAAAGACTGTTTCTATTAATTTACATAAGTCTTGGACTTGTTTTCAAATCTTCTTCCGAATTAAATTAACTTAGTTAATAATTTCTTTAGCATTCTATATCATTAACTTATAATTATCTTCAGTCTATCATGTCTCTTATTATACAATGTCTTCTGTTTGTAATGTATATTTATGTTTTGTAAATTCTGGAATTAAATATTGTTAAAACTAACATCACTTATGCATTATAAATAGCTCTTGTGACACTGTTTTGATGCAATTTTCCATAATAAAATAAAATTACTGAAATACTTAGTTTGAAACAATACAGTATTGTTTTCCAAACAGAAAATAAAAGCTAAAGGCCACTTTAAGGCTATGATACAAGAGAGAAATAACATGATCAAAACTCTTGGCTATCTGATTTCTACCCAACAGCTAAAACCCCCTTGCACAAATCAGATAACCTCAAATTTCAATGCTCTTTCTATTACATCTTTTATTTGACGGTACTTTGAAAGGTCAAAGGTATGTTATACAACATTTGAATCAAAGAAAATTACCATATTTAGTTAAGATATAGCCACATTTCCATACAACTGAAAATATCTTCAATTATACAACTTGTATGACAAATTGTGTTAACAGCTTACACAGGTTTGAATATCAAAATTGCCAACTGTTTCATAACATCTATTTAGTTTTTGTTTTCCTTATCTTTAATAAACCCTTTGCCTGCAGTATCTATCCTAGCAACCAGGGTAGACCAAGATCAGATAGCACAACCCTTGCCATTATCCATGGTCTGCAGTGTTGACTGTTCCACTTCAAAAGATGGACAAGTCTACTTAAGATTTTAAGCATGATAAAGGTTAAATGGTTCAAAATATATATTAATTTTGCTTACATGTTACCATGGAAAGACCCTTTTGTATCAATCTGTAATCATGATTGTAAAATCTACAATACTGATGATTTTTAGCTGCACATAAAGCCTATACTCAGTTCCCTATATCAATGCCAGCAGCTTGCAAAATTACTTGCAATAACACAATCTAATGCTGTTTATTGCCATAATAAATAACCATGTTTTAAAAATGTAACCCTGGAGTATACCACTGCTGCCCACTTACTACATAGTATGTTCAAGTGGCTACTCTAAAATTTTTACAGAGAGCACACTATATTGTTATTATAATATCTGTATCCTTGTAGAAGTCTTCCTGTTTATTCATATCATCTATAAACACTTCATCATAATTTACACCCTGAATATCAATCATCTTATCACTACGACCTATCACATCGCCATTATTAACTATCCTGTTATCTGTTCTATTTGCATATGTTCCATCTCCTTTTATATCCACTGTGAAGTCAGTATTCTCATTTTCATCTAAGTTCACAAACTTTGCATAATCATTTTGATCTCCTTCAGAAATATTATTAATCTCTTCTCCGGTTTTACCATCTTTATGCCTGTTCTCGACTTCTTTTAAGTCCTCAGGCGTTTCTGTTTCCTGAATAGCCTCAGATAGTTTTCTATTAATAGAATCAGTATCTTGGAAAGTATCACCCGTTTCAGTATATTTGCCTGGTTCACCAATAGCCTCGAAGAGGCGTGACCAAAAATGGGGCTGAACTTTCAAATCTGACCAATCAAGGAAAGTTTTACCCAAAAGTTTCCCAGGAACCTTGCTGTTGTCATGTTTGATAAGTATCAAGACATCAGTCCTCTAAAAGATAGAAGAGGTATTAAAACAAGTGTGGCTGCAATGGTGAAAATATGCATATGCTGTGGTGTTGTGAACTTGATTCTCTGCCAATCATATGAATTAGTAGAAGTTTGTAAGTTGATCATAGCTACAGTTTGGCATTCATCATTAAGGACAGTACTGGTTAGCTTGGTGCCATTATAAGGGACCGGGTAGAGTATCAATCATCACCTTAGAGCTGTAACTGGTTAACTCTTTAAATAATTTGATAGAAGTTAATCTGTTACTGCACTAAGGCAACACAATGTTACTAAATCATGAAATTTTAAAAATCTTTGTTTCCATAGTTTTCTTGCTTACTTTGCTCTCTTTTGAAAACTATCAAAGTTACAAAAAATCAAATCACAATATTCTTATATACTCTCTTATAAGGCATGAATCTTGAATATTTATTCTTGAAGCATTTCATGTACCCCAACTTATAGACAGGTCAATAAATTTAAGTGATTTAAAATCATGTATTCTGTTTACATACCTGCAAAATAGCTCTGTTATGTGCTTGCTGTAATTCAAATTGACCCCACATAGACTTCAGAAAGTTTTCCGACATAAGTACTATTGTCTTTCGACTTTTATATATGGCATCCATTATATTTTCTGCTACAGCCACACCTGAAAAAAAAACACATTTTCTTATAAAAACAATATAAAATTATGTTATTTAACCTACCTGTAACAACTGTATTGGACAAAACCATCAATAACTAAATCTAGAAATATGTTTTTTACCTCAAATCTGTAATTTACTTATTATAATTTCTACACATTTACTATTTCTTAATAAATGTTCATCACTTGTTTAATTCCAGCTGCGGACTATCATTTTCTTTGTTTGAAGATACCGTATGGAAGGAAACCTCTGGTCTTCCTGACTTCATTAGTGCACATACAAATCAAAGCACAGAAGGTGCTGAATTTGTTTGGGTCTCAGAATGTCAGAAAGGTGAAGGTTGTGAGATTATAAAACAATTTGTTTTTGTATAGTGCCACCAATGCTTTCCAGCGTTTTAATTGTAGTAGATTGGCTATAAGACTAATTGCAACACTGATATTCGTTCCAATGTTTATTTGACTTAAACAATTTGAAAAAAAATGAGTTGCCTTTACTGGGATTTGAACTCCAGACCTTCTCCCATACCCCTCGGCCACGGTGAATTTAAATGTTAACGGTCTGAAGAAAACCATATTATTCTAGTTAGGGTTTGTAACGACGCTAACTGTTGTTCAACACTTGTGTAAATAATCATGGCGCTTACTATAAGCATGTATGTCTATAAAGAATAAAACAATATTAGAAATCTTCGACTATTCGGGAATTGTTTTGCTTGAAAATTAATCCGCCTGTCATGTGACCATATTTACGCAGTGATCTCCCCTAATCGACCCAAACAAATAAAAATGACAAAACTGCTTATTATTTGTCTTTTTCAAGATGTCTTAGTAGATACATTTTAACAAAATTCTTATAATTTATTTAGGATAACACACAAAATATCTGTTTTACTAAATCAAAACCAGCTTTATAAAGCACATGGAAAAATTATCATCAATAGAACTAGAATAATTTTTTGAATTTGTTATTTAACAACATAAAATTTAGCATGCATATGCAATTACCTGGAGTAAAATCTTTAAAGTCAATACACACATTGTACCCTTGTTGGCACAGTTTTTCAAACAGCACATCTTTCACCCATGTTATGTCTTCACTGCTGTAGGATACAAACACATCATACTCTATCTTCCTGTCGGGCACTGAAAAAAGCAATGCAAAATAAATGTTTGATTGATTGGGTTTTATGTCACACCGACACAGTATACTGGAGGAGGAAGACCTCCGTTGCGGCTTCAGTGCAAAAATAATTGTTCAAGCATTAAGCTACATGGGGCAGGAAGGACAATTTAACATTTTCACTATAGAAGTCTTCATTCAATTGGTGACCCCATTATGTAGCCATTATTGGCGCAATGGTCATTGTTTTAAATTAAATTTTGTAGAGAACCACTTAATAATTACAGATTCATTCTATATGTGAAATATCAAAACTGGAAGCTTAGCACTACTGGAGAAGAAGATTAAGAAATATTTATCAAAATTTTTCTTCCATTTTGTTACTTTTCAGGGGCAACAACTCTGCAATGCATGGTAGAATCATCAGTTCAAAAGGCAGAAACTAAAAACTATTGATTATTGTAAAATGTTTTGTATTAAAATCAAACAAAAATTAGAACTGCAGTTCATCTCCCGGTCAGGCTGCACATTCTTCTAACCCTGACACTATCATGTAGACAAGGCAAACTATGCATTCTTTTGGCCCCATTCTGGTACTTTAAAGGGCCACAACTCTGTAATGCATGATTTTTTTACTGACCTTCATACTGGCTGAAATCTGGATCTGGCCATTCCAGTTCCTCATACTGCTTTTGTATCTTGTATCTTCTATGTCTTACAGCTATCACTATGACAACCATGGTTACCATAGCAACGACCCCTGCAGTGCTACAGCCAATGATCAGGCTGAGAGATAGGTGTTCTGAAATAAAATTGGAGGCATATATGTTATAAGAAAAGGTGAAAGTCTCTTTTTTCCACTTTTACAGGGGTAACTTTTATCTACTGACAGAGGTCTTTTTATTTGGTAGTTACCTTTGGATGGAGTTAGGGCCCAGTTGGGTCAAGGTCACCAGTGCTAAAAATAGCTTAAACATTTTCTTCAAACACAAATACATCCTCTGGCAAATGCATTACAAATGTGTCAGGGTAATCCGATTTTTTGGCACACTGGAAAAAAGTGTTGTGCATGTCTATTTATCTTTCTAGCCATTACCTGTACTATCGTCTGAATAGCAAATGCTTAGTTATCACAAGAACACCATTGAATATACATACGTTTTAATCTTACTAGGAAAGCATATATTTACATGACAAAGAATTCTATCAAACTGGTATCAAAGAGACAAGTGTACACTGATTTAAACTCACCTGACTAGATAGAGAGAGCATATCATATTACACAGATTTTTCAGATATACAGTGAAAGTTGAGAAAACCGGACGGCTTTCGGACCAAGGGTTTTGTCCGGTTTTCTCAGCGGTCCGGTATTCTCAATGTCCCCTTCAGCTGTTCAGGATCTTTGTGTGACAAAAGTTAAAATGTTTGTAATGAAATGGTGCATTGCTGTTATTATTAATTATGGTAAAGTTAAACAACTTACTTAGTTTATGCTCTGGTGGTTCAACTGATATCAGTCTAGAGTCATTACCCTTTGAGTTCACACCATAACACATATATGTCCCATAGTCGGATTCCTGAAAAATACCATCATTTAATATAAACAAAATTAAGGCCAAACACCCAAATTCACATCAAAAACATAACGAGAACAAAAAAACACCACTATTCACATCAATGGTTGGGTGTAAAATACCAACATTGAACATTAGAAATCATATGACACATCACAATGTGAAGGGCAAAACACCACAATTGAATTTACATCAATGGTTTGATGTAAAATACATCTACATGATACTGCTTAACAATCAATTCTGATTATGACTAGCAGGCGCATTGTCAAGGAACTGTTAATAAAAGAAAAATTATTATTTATATACAAATTTAAAAAGTTAAAAGAATAAAAGTTCTACAAGACTTTTAATTTAAAAGATCTAGTGTGCAATTTAGAATTTATAGTAAATACCAGTATTGAACATCAGAAATTAAATCTGGCACATCACAGAACAAGATATTATGATTTCAAACATATTTTACAAGAAAACACATTCCTTCACAAGTATATATTTATGTTGAAAAGTCATCATAATGATCTTAAAGGGACTCCACTGAGGTTTTTCGACATGAAGGGACCGAAAATATTTTTTCATTTCTGTATAAATGTCTGAACCAATAACTTGTGTGCATTCAGACCATTTGCTTAAACTGCTTCCCAGGGATAATAATTTTTTTTCTGCAAACTGACAGACCCAAAATTGAAAAGCATTGCAAATTGGCCAAAAAAGGATTATCAATTTTGTACCCTGTACTTATTTACATATCATCTATAGCATAGTTTTCCATTTTTAAGTACAGCAGTTGATTTCTGAAAGAATTTCAAATTTTATGAATTTAGACCTCAATGGAGTTCCTTTAAAAAAACCAGACAAAATTTATTTGTAGCATATATTTTACCATTTGAAAGCAATTTTACACAGTTACAATACCTGAAGTTTGTCAATATTGAGAGAAGATATTTTGTTGTTGGTGAATGTGTTGTTGAGGCCATATGTTGTGTGACTTGTATCATTTACAGACTGTTGACCTTTAAACCATTCCACATCCAACTGTAATAAATATATTACATTTATATGATGAAATATAACATTTTTTTTTTAAATCCTGGAAAATGAATAGTTCTTACATAACCAATGAAAACCAAAATAAGTAGGTGAAAATCACAGACTCTGTTGATGAAGTGAACAAAGGGAAGCGAATAAATCTCACATACCCGAACACAAAGGGGCTGGGTGTTACACAAGCTTTAGCATAGAGAGGCTAGGAGAAACACAAGCCCTAGCACAAAGGGTTGGGATTATTTAATCTTTAACACAAAATACATATATTGAAATCAATGATACTTTAGATCCAGAAAAACAAATGTATAACAACGAAACAATTACTTATTTTAATTCTAGGACTTTCATAGTTTAAGCTATAAAGCTTAGAACAAAAATCACAAACATAACACCAAAAAGAATTTGATAACTTATATAACTATGCTCGAAGATTGTGGATTTGTTCAAGGTCTTGTTTAAAGCCTTAAATTAGCTCAACTTACATCCATTAATGCTTCAATTGACCCTCCTACATCATATGTACAGCTGATGTTGACTGTGTCACCAATTTTTGCATGTTTTACTGTATTGACTGGTTCTGTCTGAATAATTCTTGGTCTGGTCTCCTGTTTTCTTTCTGTAAAATGATTATCAAAATAGGCTTTATTAATGTTTAACTGTTTGTTTGTTTGATTGGGTTTTACGTTACACCGACACAGTATAGGTCATATAGCAATGATCCAGGGAGACCTTTAGGTGCCCTTCCCTGCATTATTCCAGGCACAAACGGGCACTTGAGTAGAACCACTGGCATGTAAGCTAGCTGGAAAGCTTCCTTACATGAAAGAATCCAAATGTTTGATTGTAAATTATCAAGATTTCTTCTTACAATTATATACATTGACTGTTAGAAATCTCTTCAACAAAATTATCTATTAAACAAAACATAGCCTTTATAACCTCTCTCCAATAAACTGAATTACTCCGAAATCAAGAATATTTTTGGATTTTTGTAGCTCATATCCACAGGGGTACAAACAAACTTTTACAGTTACAGCTTGGAAAATAAATGCAACAGGATGACTAATATATTGTGACCATGAAGCTGTTATGGTAAAAGTATGTTAGCTTTGAAAATCCCATATTTGCTGAGTAATGGATAACATCTTAGATGATTTTTATTCAGATAAGGAACATTTTGTCACTTTTTATAAATTTGTTACAATAAAGAATATGCATGAAACAAACCTATTATAAAATTCTATATCACACCCTTTTCATTTGCATATATTGATCATGATGTTGGAGGCTGCTTAATATGCTAATGCTACATAGACAAAATAACTTGCAATTACATTAATTAGGCATTAATCACACCTATTAATTAAGTATCATAAGTATTAAGGAAAGATAATGTGACCAAAGGAGGGCTTAAAACCACATTCTTGTACATCAGACTGGTGTTTCTGTAAAATATACCCATACTGGAACTTTTATTTGACCTGGAGGGTGCAAGATGATTGACGTCCTTTTGGCACATTTTAGAATGAAACTTCTTAAGATCATGTCATTTTGCCATATGAAGTTGTAAGTTCACACACAAATGTAAGAAAATAGTAACAAGTGAAGTCAGCTTAAATTTCCATTGAATAACATGATTGTATTGGGGTAATAAATAAACTTTTTAAAAAATATTGTAGAATGAGGTAGAATATACAAGGAAAAAATTATCTGACATGACTTGTGTTGCGATTCAGATTGCTGTTCTGATTGGAATTCATCACTTTTGCGACTCCGTAGAGATGGTATTGCCAACCGTGTATATAATTTGATGAGACTCCCATTTGCATTATACATAGCTTTAAGACATTCTAAAAGATAGCATTTCCTCTATAAGGGTGTCAATGATAAAGTGATTTTTTTGAACAGTAACCTTAGTTCTTACTTTAGATATAAGATAAAAAGAATATTATATTTGTATAGGTTCATTATTAAAGTTTTTGAACTCGTTGAATAAAATGATATTAAATTGATTGAACTTGTTGAATAAAATAATATTATGCTTGCCAGTGGCTCACATGTTATAATTTTATTCAACTTGTTCCATAAATTTAGTACTGAATCAAGGTGAGCATGATATTATTTTATTCAACGACTTCTATAATATTATAAATTTGACACTTTTTCAATATCCTTTATATCTGTCATTTGGTTACATGCAGGATGAATATTTCAATCCAAATGACAATGCATCAAACATATATTTTATCAAAACAGACACTTAAAACACTAGGACACTTAACTCCTATTATCAACATGATAATTGTTATATGATAAATTTCAAAGAAAACATCAGGAAGTATATGACAACTATTATAATTGTCAATTAGTTTGTACCACAGGGAACTTTCATAGTACAATATTATTGACTGTACCATTGTCTTAACAAAACTTTCCCTGAGAAAACCCAAAAAATATTTCAGTATTGCTAATGAACCTCTTGAACAAGCAATTAACCCTAAACATTCTTGATTTGTATAATGGACTCACCCTGCTTGAGATTTGGAAGAATTCATTGTTACTTTAAGGGATTTCAACATCAAAATTATAAAATTAAGCAGTAAAGAGCCATAGTAAGATTAGCTTTCTATATTTCTTCCTTTTCTGTGTTACAAGAACCCTCACCAGAACATTACCAACTTGTCTTAATACAGATGTGATATACAGCATGACTCTATGCAAGTAGCCAGGTTTTTTTCCCCAGGAGTTTGGGAACATGACCCATACTCATTGGGAATTTCAGCGATGTTTTGTTAAAAATCAGGGACATTATAAATGCATTAGGTAAATTTTACAGTGATTAAATGAATGCAAAGAATCACTGTCTAGGATGGCATCTTCAAACATTTAAGCACCACAACAGTGAAGAAGCCCTTATTTTTAAAGATTTTAAATTTTATTATTCAATATTTTATTTCTTTCAATTGGGATTTTTTTTCCTGTGGATGGGGAAAATAATAAACTATTTTCTGATGGGAATATGACCAAATATTGGCTATAAATCAAACTTTAAAAAATCCCTGGTAACAATTTAAGTTTAAAGAAATGTAGGCCTTATTGACTCTACAAAAGTTACATGACTTATTACATGACAAATTATACAACATTTTGTCTATACGGAAGTGCATGACTGCATGACTTCACACTAGTAGCATGCAACAATAAGGTCAACATCATTGCCTTAATTCTAAGTATTATAAACAATTATGGGATATTAAATTGCCTTTTATATCATTATCTTTCCTATTATATCTAAAATTAATGTCAAATGTCAAGTGCCTCTTGAAACAAGTACATTTGTACTTATAAAAACAACACAAAATGATTTCATTAATATGTATTCATTAAATTGAAAGCGAAACCATATATATGATATAGTTTCACTGACTTTTTCACTTGTTTTTGGCAAAAACACAGTAAGTCGTTCATTCCTTTAATACTTGGAAATGATTACAAAGTAACCATAAGAAATTGGGAAAAAAGAAGTTTAATGAATCCATAAATGAAATTATGCAGATTTTTAGGCTTAAAAGATTATCATATTATGCTCATCAGTCTGTCACATATACAATAGGTCAAAGGTGCTTTTAGAAGGTTAGACCATAAAATTGTGACGGTTTAAAAATCATTTGAAGGGTTTAACATCAGCTGAAGGGTTTAGTAAAAACAGTAGGACATTTTAACAATAAAATTTGGGTGGTTTTACAATATCATTTGGGGGTTTGAAGTTACAGTTACACTCAATGGAGGGTTTACAAGTTACATTTGGAGGGTAAAACAGTAACATTTGGATGGTTTAACAGTAACATTTGGAGGGTTTAACAGTACCATTTGGAGGGATAAACAGTACCATTTGAAGGATTTAATAGTTGCATTTGGAGGGTTCAATAGTTACATTTGAAGGGTTTAACAGTAACATTTGGAAGGTTTAATAGTTATATTTGGAGGGTTTAATACTTACATTTTAAGGGTTTAACAGTAACATTTGGAGGGTTTAATAGTTACATTTGGAGGGTTTAACAGTTACATTTGGAGGGTTTAATGGTAACATTTGGAGGGTTTAATAGTTACATTTGGAGGGGTAAATAAAAACATTTGGAGGGTTAGTTACATTTGGAGGGTTAAATAGTTACATTTGGAGGGTTAAATTGTTACATTTGGAGGATTTAATAGTTACATTTGGAGGGTTTAATAGTTACATTTGGAGGGTTAAATAGTAACATTTTGAGGGTTAAATAGAAACATTTGTAGGGTTTAATAGTTACATTTTGAGGGGTAAATAGTAACATTTGGAGGGTTAGTTACATTTGGAGGGTTTAATAGTTTCATTTAGAGGGTTAAATAGTTACATTTGGAGGGTTTAAAAGTTACATTTAAGGGTTTAATAGTTACATTTGGAGGGTTAAATAGTAACATTTTGAGGGTTAGTTACATTTGAAGGGTTAAATAGTTACATTTGGAGGGTTAAATAGTTACATTTGGAGGGTTTAATAGTTACATTTGGAGGGTTTAATAGTTACATTTGGAGGGTTAAATAGTAACATTTGGAGGGTTAAATAGAAACATTTGGAGGGTTTAATAGTTACATTTTGAGGGGTAAATAGTAACATTTGGAGGGTTAGTTACATTTGGAGGGTTTAATAGTTACATTTGGAGGGTTAAATAGTTACATTTGGAGGGTTTAATAGTTACATTTAAGGGTTTAATAGTTACATTTGGAGGGTTTTACAGTAACATTTTGAGGGTTAAATAGTTACATTTGGAGGGTTTAACAGTTACATTTGGAGGATTAGACAGGTTTAACAGTAACATTTGGAGGATTTAATAGTTACATTTGGAGGGTTTAACAGTAACATTTTGAGGGTTAAATAGTTACATTTGGAGGGTTTAACAGTTACATTTGGAGGATTTAATAGTTACATTTGGAGGGTTTAACAGTAACATTTTAAGGGTTAAATAGAAACATTTGGAGGGTTTAACAGTTTCATTTGGAAGTTTGAATTAAATTACATATGAAGGGTTTAACAGTAACATTTTAAGGGTCTATCAATAACATTTGGCGGGTTAAACAGTAACATTTGGAGAGTTTAAAATAACATTTGAAGAGTTTAACATAACATTTGGAGGATTAAAATTAATGATTACATTTGGAGGATTAACAAAAAATTATCATGGATATTATACTATCAGCTTTTGAAAAGTTGATTTAAACAACATATTTTGAGAGTTAATCAATATTAAGCAGTTTAAACAATAAGATTATGTGTCAGACAAATAGATAAATGAAGGTCAAAATATAATAGTAGTTTGAGCTATATATTATACAAAAAAATCTGATTTTCTACTCCCCTTTATAGAATAAGTACATAAAAGTATTGCTTAAACTGTAGATAATATGATGAAAATGCAGCAATACATTGTATATTCCACTTGTCAATGCACAGGCCTATTCTGACCTTTATATTTGTGTAATGGCTGAAACATTATGATCATTAGAACAAAGGCGTCAATTATCTTTGCTAGAATTTCACAGCTTTTACCATACAAAAACTGATTCATATCATAATAGGTCCACACACCTAACAACATGTAATTTTACATCCACTTCCATAAAAGAAATGTTAACATGTAACAGTCAGGACAAATATATGAATTTTATACCCTTCCTAAAAAAAGTTTGGTTAAGACTGCACTACTTAAAGGACTCTAAATGTGTCTTATTATTATAAATATACGATCAGGTTAGCTCAATAGGTAGAGACCTGTGGGTTCAATTCCCAGATGCTGCAGGTCATTTTCATTGTAATAGATCATGAAATCCTTTATACTGTCATTCACACTCTTCTTCTGCTCTGGCATGTACAAAAGTTATCAGTTCCTCATGAAAGTAAGGCAACTTAAGTATGGGTAAATCTATTGACAGCCTGTCATGGTTGAACTGTGTTCTGGTAAATTCAAAGTGGCATACTACAGTGAAAACTACCAACACAACACCATGTCTAATTTCCTCGTTATTTTTGTTAACATAAAAAACTGTTGTTAACAAAAATCTGTCCATGCATGAGTATATTTACAGAGCAGAAAACATGCTATTGCATTAATGCATCAAAATCAAAGTACCAGCACAAGCTGTTTGTTGCACTAAATTTTTTAATATGCATGACTTAAGGCAGCATGTAAAAATAGCAACTAGAGTGATGGCCCTGGTAACTTTATTATCAAAACATGCCTGCCAAATGACATCAAGTATGCATGTGAAAAGCCTTACTTTCAATGAAAAACAAATAACAAAACACAGAATTACCAAAACAGACATAAACTTTTATGCCAGAATAAATCCACATTTTTTCAAGCACTTACATCTGCACAAGCCAAGGCAGACTTTATTTAAGTCATCCTCTGCAGGCTTGAACTTTAAGTCCATCCGTGCGCTTCTGCAGATGTCAGTGCATGAAAAAAGAAGTGTTTGCCCTCTAATCACAATAATTGTTTACCTGTTATAAGAATATCTCCTGAATGACTGACATTTCCTGCTATATTATAGGCCAAACATTTATACACCCCTGACTGGAACTGTTTTGGGTCCTCAAAAACCAGCGTCTGATTTTGGTCTTGTAGCAAAAGTCTGTAAATCTGTTAAGGAATAATTTCAAGATAGAAAGAATTTATGAAACTTAACAGGCACACCTATCCAGGATTTGTTTTTACTGGAGGGTGGGCCATAAAATTACTACATGGTGTATTTACTGTGTATTCCAGAGTGGGTTTGGATTTTAACAAGCAGTTTTCCAGTCTCAGGCAGATGAGTGGAATTTTTATTTGTTTGGGTCGTTAGACCAAACAAATAATGGTAGCGAAATTTCAGACCCTGATGCTGTTAATTGCAATTGCCTAAAGTAGTCCGCTTTTTTGAAGCAGTCACTTCCCTTTATATGTACACTTACGCCAAAAAATTCAGGGGAGATCACTGCGTAAAGATGGTCAAATGACAGGCGCATTAATTTTCAAGCAAAATAGTTCCCGAATGGTCGAAAATTTCTAATATTGTTTTACTCTTTATAGATACACATGCTTATAGTAAGCTCCATAATTATTTAAACCTGTGTTAAACAACAGTTAGCGTCGAAATAATAAGGGTTTCAAACCCTAATTTAGAATAATATGGTTTTCTTCAGGCCTTAAAGATATAATTTCACCGTGGCCGAGGGGTTTGCGCGCTTGCTTCAGAAGCGAGAGGTCTGGAGTTCAAATCCCAGTTAAGGCAACTCATTTTTTTTTTCAAATTGTTCAAGTCAAATAAACATTGAATTGAATATCAGTGTTGCAATTAGTCTTATAGCCAATTTACTACAATTAAAACACTGGAAAGCATTGGTGGCATTATACAAAAACAAATTGGTTTATAATCTCACAACCTTCATCTTCACCCAAACAAATTCAGCGCCTTCTGTGCTTTGATTTATCTTGGCATAGCGGACCATAACTAATTTCACCTTAAACCCTAAAAATTCGAAAGTAAACCACAGCTTATTTTAAATTTTGGTAAGGATTGTAGTGGCTTATATTCAAGTTTGGTATATTTTCGAGATGAGACTGAAGGAATTTCATCGGCTCATATCATAAACAAAAATAAAGCTAGCATGTTATTTTTCGAGGGTATGAAAAAAGTAGACATTCCTATATGATCCATAAATGCACATTTAACAGTTTAAGCACATCTTTGGCTTTACTTAATTACTTAAAATGTAATAATTGTAACATTTCAAGGCACACCAACCACTGTTGGTGAAAAGCTAGCTTACCACCAAGAGTGGTCTGTGTCCTTATATATGGGAAACATTCTTTATGTTAATTCACCAACTTTAGTTTTTGCACATTATTAGGCTCATCATCAGTATTATGATGTTCTACCAACATCATTACATAATCATATTACTTTAACTTCACTTAATTCCTTAAAAAATGAAAAAAATTAGGTATGCAGGAAGTCATACAAGGATACTGGTTTTTCACAACATCTAAAGGCTGACCATTTTTGTACCAGAGTAGAGTGTAACTAATATTGGTCAATCTACAGTTAAGCACAATAGCTGGACCATCTTCATCATAATAGCTCCTGTCAGGCCAGGTCGGATTTTCTACAAACTTTGGTGGTTCTGGCCTGTTTAAACCTGGTGCTGTAACATCATATCCTGAAATAAATGATTTAAAAACTATTCAAAGACACACTTGATTAATCAAGGCTGTGAAAAAAACAAGATTAAAACTTTTAAGTGTTCTTGAATGAAATGAATTTCAATGTCTTTTAATTGGACTCTTAACCACTCATCCATACAATTTTGTAGATCTAGCCATAAATGATGAATTATTGAGAAGTGGTGACTTATTGGAAAGCATAATGTTCCCTTTGCAATTCTGAAAAAGGGGGATCTATTAATACAAAGTAAAATTAACTTTTGAAAACCTAAACACTTAAAGATATACTATGCTCATCTTTGGGTAAAAGACTTTAATTGAAATCTAGTAAATTCTTCCTGAATATGTCTAATTTGAATAGAAAAATGTACAAACTATATTTGAGAAGCTGCATTCCCTATTACCTGTCAAAATGATTTGGCCTATTTTTATAAAAACTGACAGTTTTTAATGACATTATGTGTAATCCTGTAGTGTGTAGAACATAAATTGTAACATGTTTTTTTGCAGTGTGTATTTAAAAGATGTTTATTTTACATTTCAAATGAGACTGTATAGTAATTAGCATTTTTTTTCCAAAAATGAACTTTTGAGCATTTGAGTCTGTTTGAAAGTGCAACATCACTCATGTCTCTTATTTTACATTTTAAATATTATTCATATACTGTCATTAGAGTGTTCATATACAACCATTAGAGTGTTCATATAAAGTCATAAGAGTGTTTATATCAATCATAATAGTTTTCATATACAGTCATAAGAGAATTCATAAACAGTCATAAGAGTGTTCATATACACTCATCAGAGTGTTCATATACAGTCATAATAGTTTTCATATACAGTCATAAGAGAATTCATATACAGTCATAAGTCAGTAGAGTGTTCTTATACTGTCATAAGAGTGTTCATATACAGTCATAAGAGTGTTTATATACAGTCATAAGAGTGTTCCTATACATTCAAAAGAGTGTTCATATACAGTCATAAGAGAATTCATATACAGTCATAAGTCAGTAGAGTGTTCTTATACTGTCATAAGAGTGTTCTTATACTGTCATAAGAGTGTTCATATACAGTCATAAGAGAATTCATATACAGTCATAAGTCAGTAGTGTTCTTATACTGTCATAAGAGTGTTCATATAAAGTCATAAGAGTGTTTATATACAGTCATAAGAGTGTTCATATACAGTCATAAGAGTGTTCATATACAGTCATAAGAGTGTTTATATATAGTCATTAGTGTTCATATACAGTCATAAGAGTGTTTATATACAGTCATAAGAGTGTTCATAAACAGTCATAAGAGTGTATATATATATATATATATAGTCATAAGTGTTCATATGCAGTCATAAGTGTGTTCATATACAGTCATAAGAGTGTTTATATATAGTCATTAGTGTTCATATACAGTCATAAGAGTGTTTATATACAGTCATAAGAGTGTTCATAAACAGTCATACAAGTGTATATATATATAGTCATAAGTGTTCATATGCAGTCATAAGTGTGTTCATAAACAGTCATAAGAGTGTATATATATATAGTCATAAGTGTTTATATACAGTCATAAGAGTGTTCATAAACAGTCATAAGAGTGTATATATATAGTCATAAGTGTTCATATGCAGTCATAAGAGTGTTCTTATACAGTCATAAGAGTGTTCATATACAGTCATAAGAGTGTTCATATACAGTCATAACAGTGTATATATACAGTCATAAGAGTGTTCCTATACAGTCAAGAGTGTGTTCATATACAGTCATAAGAGTGTTCCTATACAGTCATTAGTGTTCATATACTTCATAAGTGTTCATATACATTCATAAGAGTGATCATATACTGTCATAAGAGTGTTCATATCCAGTCATATTAGTGTTCATATATCGTCAAAAAGAGTTTCGTAACTAGTACTTACCATAAACAAGAGGTACAAGGTAGGGAAATCCTGACATAAATATCGCAATCAACACCATTGACCCCATTCTGCTCTTTTCCTTAAAAATGTAATTTATACATACATCACTGACATGGCCCCATATTAATACATGTAGAATTACAAATATGCAATGAATAAAATGGTGTTACAATATTTACTTACAGTTATGTTCTTCCATAATTATTTTTTCTTTGAGATTTTTGTAAAAATGTGTTGCAATATTTACTTGCAGATATGTAGGCCTACCTCCATCATTACTTTTTCTTGAGAATTTTATAAAAATGGGTTAAAATTTGTACTTCATGTACTTCCATAATTATTTTTTCTTGAGAATTTTTATAATTTAATCACAATTACACAAAGATTTGTGTGAAAATCTGACATTTTCCGAACCTATATTATAAGCTATTGTTATATGATATATATCTGTTAACTTTTTAATCCAGCAGTTTGTGTTTGCAGGTTGCACAAATAATCTTATCTAATATTCAAAACAATGGGACAGCTTAAAATTCAAAAACCAGTCTTATCAAATAAACAGTTTTTTTCTTCTGAAAAAAAAAGAAAAGAAAAAAAGCTGTACCTATAACTAATATCTTGAAATATTTAGTCCACAATCAGAACAATGCATTCCTGTATTTTGTTTAATAATATGCATGCATGCATTCAGTAGTCAACCTTAAATGTTGCTCTTATTTTGATTTAAATCTGATTTTCAGAAAATGCTTATAACAATATCATATTTCATTAGAGTAACACAATACTTAGATCTACATTAACAACGACCTACATGTACATCATAATTAAATGTATAGGAGTATGTTTACATAGAATTCTTTAACCTCTTAACGTATACACTAGGACAAACATCAACAACAACAACGAAAAACAACAATAAACTTACAACGTGTCCATTCTAAACAAAAGCCCCCCCCCCGCACCCCACCACACCCCACAGTTTTGTTATTTACAAACGTATATAACGTGACATCAGTTCAGCGGACGGACGGACAAAGCGTCTTAAGTGGGGCATAAAAATGAAAAATGGACGACATAAAAATGTTCAAACTTACCTTTTAAATCTATGATTTTATTATCCAGGCTTAATTTGCAAATATTGCCTGTCATAAAGTCAACGCATTTTAACGCAAATATTCACACAAATCAAACGTGTTAAGTGTTGACCCAAAAATGTAAAATTTATCGATAAAATGATACATACTACCAACAAAGTGGTTGTGCTAATTTTAAATTGATTTGACCTAAATAGAAAACGAAACTTGATTTTTAGGAATTCTAAATTTAGCTTTACATAAATTTATATAAGCGGTATAGCAATTCAATAAATATCAGTAAAAGTTTTAAATATATAAATCACCCTTTTTTGATTCTACATGCAATACCACCTGTCATTCACACCGACCTTGATTATCTATTGATAATTGATAAATATAACCTCAAAGTTCAAATAGTAATCATAAATCCCATGTACGTAAACTTTTCATCATTTGATAATACATATATGAAGTTAATCATGTCAGTTGATTTATACCCATTCCCAGCCAACAAAAGCATAAAAAACTGTTCTCAATCAAATTCCATACAGAACATTGTTTTTAATTAAGTATAGTTAAAATCAGAAATGATTTACAATATTTAAAATTGTAAAAAATGTAATTCAATTTGTTTGATTCGTGAAACACGTACAAGTTTGTACCAAGCTTTTTTTTATACTTTATATGGAAATTAAGATTAGAATTTCACACAGCTAAATTTTAAGTTAAAACACTTGAATCGTCTTGGACGTGCACGTTTTAATTATTTGGGCTGCTACATGAATCTATGTTTCTAATACATAGCTACTGTATAGGTAAAATAAATGTGTAAGGAGAAAAATAACATAATGATTCAGATTCGAAAAAAATACGTTTGGATAATAACATCCCCCCCCCCAAAAAAAAAGAAAAGACGCACTGCAGAGTACTACTATAGTGCTATACATTTACATCGAGGGTGGTGAATTTATATACCACGTTTGAAGTCTACATCAAAAAGTTATATCACTTGAGTTTTTTCCTATATGAATGTAGAAAAAAGCACCATTATATCAATACAGTTTTCAAATCATTGAAAGTGCACTGAATATAAAGGGTTAGAATAGATTATATTATGTTACTAAATATTCCAAACCATGCCATGGCTTCTAAAAAGCTTTTCTTTCCAAGATAAAATATGTTTAAGTTGGTATGTCCTCGAAATTTGAGTAATGTTATCAACAGTCCATGGTTATGTAACTAAAAAAAGATAACAACGACAGCAGATCGTCAGCAAACGTGGATGACATGAAAAAACAGTCTGTGAGGTTCTTGTCAACATAGAAAATATGTATAAAGAGTGTACAAATGATCCCTACCAATGTTAGTGTGTAAATATCAGGACATATGTTTACGTACATTTCTATAGGTTATTAAATTATGGCAGCTGTTAAAAGTTGTCCCGTACTTGAAAATTGAGTACCGCTCAAGTCGGTACTAGCTAGGGGCGTGAGGGATGTTGCACTTTGACATTATTCCTCATGTACAGTTTTGTTTGTTTGTTTTGGGTTTTACGTCACATCGACACAGTTTATGTCATATCGCGACGTTCCAGCTTTACTGGTGAAGGAAGACCTCAGGTGCCCTTTCCGTGCATTATTTCAGGCACGAACGGGCACCTGAGTAGAACCACCGACGTTCCGTAAGCTAGCTGGATAGCTTCCTCACATGAAAGAATCCAAAGTCCCTGTCTGGATTCGAACCCAAAGCGGTGAGGGGCAAGTGGTTTGAAGTCAACGACCTTAACCACTCGGCCACGGACGCCCCTTCCTCATGTACAGACTCAATCAAACCGAGTCATGTACTTTTGTTGTGATTAATGCTTCTGAGGGATCACACTTTATCATGATTTGTTTAACATTTCTTATTTCATATTTCAACGATTTTTTGTGTAAATATGAAGCTCATACATATTTCTAATTTAACAAAACTACAAACAATGTATTTACATACTCTTATATAACAGAGATCACCTTTACGACACAGAAACTTGTTTGCTTACATGACAGAAAAGAAAGTCAGGAGTGGTTTCACCAACCATCCAGCTTCGCGTAGGCAACAGTTACAAGGAGTCAGGCAATATCGAGATTGCCGAGAAGCATCGTCTTAACCCACTGTTTACAAATACTTAATTTACCGATACTTGTATAATTTACCGATACTTGTATACGTTAAATAGCCTGGTGCCAAACTTTAAATCTATAAAGAATTTAGAAACACTCCTTAAAATAAAGGCCATTAGTCTAGTCACACTAGTTGTTTTGTCCAAGTATGAATTATTTCCATACTGTTCAATGTTCAGTTTTAGATCTGAAACTGTGCACATGGTCCAAATTATATAGCTGTACATCAAAGGACAAGAAAATACGTCCCTAGATCAGCTGATATCAAAGTTCAATTTTACACACATGGTCTAAATTTCATAGTTGTACATCAAAGGACAAGAAAGCAGATCACTTCGTCAAATTATCTAGGCCAGCTGATATCAGAGTTCGATTTTACATTTAACATCTAAACCTGTGCACATGTCCAACATTTCATAGCTATACATAAAAGGACAAGAAAGTTGGTCACTTTCCCAAATTATCTAGAAAATTCAGGGATAGTGCAATCTTCTCCACTACTTTAAAAAAAGAAAAGATTTAACTGTTTTCAAAATTTCTTCATATGAGATTCTTCATTGAATATACAATGTATCTGCCTTAATTTCATTAAGACTTTCAGAATTTAAACCCTCAACTTATTATGCTATATCATCACTATCTACATCATTGTTTTTGACTTAAACGATTCCTCAAAATGTTGTATCCATATATCATGAGCAAAACTATTTGTGATTTGTTGTTTTCCGTGCCATTTTTTTCCAAAATGGTTGAGGAACTTTAACACTTTCATCGCATTGCTTACAACAGTTTGCTTTACTTTTCTCACCTTGACTTTTGAATGTTTATACTCTATTTGGATTTCGTCTATACTCAAGCAAGAGTTTATGTTTCTCATATTTTGTTGTTCGACAGCTAAAAACAAACCACCCTGGTTGAGAATGATTGGATATTTTAGTCACCTGTTTCATCTGTTTGCAACATTCACCACATTCCAGAAGAATCTAAAAGTTTTTTTTTTTAATTTCGTCTATATAATAATAATTATATATACATTGAAACTCTCTAATTAAATTTTTCACAACATTGTTATCAAATAATGACTCGATATTTTCCAAAAGACTATTTTATGATGCTCTATAAATCTATATCTAACCATTTGTTCATTACTAAGTCTTAGCATAGGACTATTTCTATATAGATTTTTTATTTTTATATAGAAAATACAGCAGGCATATGACTTGATTCGCTCCATGTTCCTATCTAAAATGAATTGATATCATCTATAGTGTCATGACTTACAAACACTATTACCATTTTGCTCTAGTCCTTTATAAGTAAAAGCTCCATGACTAGAATCATTGAAAAATCTTTCATTAGCAATAACAAAAATGTAATCTTAACAAAAAATTAAAAGGTCTCTGTCAAATTTATTTACACTCGTATCTTTGCTAACCCTCTTTTGTATTTATTCATAATCTAGTAAACCCATCTGCTCACAATAAACAGGAGCATTATATATATAACAACCAATACATCTTAATTATATTTTTTTTGTAATTCTAGTAATTTCTGTTCGTATTAGGTCAATACCTTTAAATTCGTGTCAATCATTGTTAAGCAAATCATCTAGAAGTTAATATACAGTAAAATAACTTTATCTTCCAAGATATCATTAAACAGACTTTTGTCAATAACAATAAATGAACAAAAGTCAAAGTTTGTTATGAACTTATCCAAAGATTTCTTGATAAAAATTACTTATTCCTATCATTGGACGACCATATGTTCAGTGTTTTAAACCTGGTATTTAACATTTATCATATTCAGAGAATTCATTTGATAATAATAAGTTTCTTTCTAACATTTATAACAACCTTTTAGTGTAAAAACATTAAAGATAATCTATTAAATCTTTATCGAAATCGTATTGTTCAATCGTTCAACATTCCTTCGATATTCCAACAAACAGATTGTAATGTACATTGGCCGCACCCCTATAAATCATCATCATCTTTGCCGGTTGTGCTTTCATTGACATGTTTGATTTCTTAAAAGAGATTTATCTCTTGTATTCTTTAACTTCAATTTGATACGCAAGAATGGATCCCGCTAGCAACTGTTCTCAAAGACTCTGATGACCTTTCCAGTCATATAAAACTTGGCTGCTTCGGAACCGAAAAAACGCAACGACCTGCATCAATCGCAACTTTTCGGTCCTTCCAGCCAGTCTTCGGACATTATGGATAATCGTTGTTCAAAGTGTTCTGATTGCGGCCTAAAAAGCAAAACTAGATTATTGGAAAATCCGCTCATATGTTAATTATTCCTGTGTCGTGGGTAAACAAAGCTAAACACACATTAACATTGGAAATTTCTAAGTAACTGCGTGACGTACTGGACAAAATTAGAAGTAAGTTTATACATCTTTTACTAACTAGTATCATAGCTAGAACTTTCAATTGAAAATGTGCCAGTTAAATCGTGTACCCATACATGCATAGTGCGTTAACTGAAATGCAGGTATTAATTACCCGCACATCATGCAGGAATAACACTAGAGCATGTTCATTGATTGGCTACATGTTTTCTGGGGACTTTCTGATTGTGACGACAGGGAATGGGATAACGGTAAAAAAGTAATATTCAGATGCTCGTACATTGGTTACTGTTTTCTGGGGTTTTCATATTGCGACGACAGGGAACATGTTTTGAACTTTGCCTATAAAACAACAGAGAAAGCATCAAAACACTTGGAAATCAGGTTATGTGAGGTATTTTTGAGACATTGAGAAACACGTGATCTGTAAACCGTACCTAATTGATTAATGTTAATCAACGATGTATAGTTATTTCTTTAAAGATAAAATGGTAAATAAAATAAAATGTAAATGTAAATTTGACAATTACACATAGCTGTTTAATCAAAACGTTTAAAAGACAAATCTCAAACGTCCGGATGATACAGATCGATTATTGTAAACTATAATCTCTACTACCTAGGGAATTCTGGTAGATCAATTGAATGATATTATGATAATTAAGTTATTAAAACTTTTAACAACAGGAAACCTTTTTTACTTTGTTATAACGAACAGTATAAACCATATTGTTACGAAAACGGTGAATTGAACACATAGAATAACTATCTCTATATAAGTATGTAAAATGAATTTGAACCATTTCCAGGCATGTCTAAAAGCACAAGTACATTTATATCAGAGTTGATTTTAAATTGATGATATGGAATAGCATACTAGTATTTGCCGTTTTGTTACTAAAGTTTGTTTCGTTTGTTCAATGGTCAAACATATAATGTTTTCTGTCTTTTTGATTTACCTCTTAACGCAACACCAAGATGGACGCACATACATTCTGAATGCTTTTGACTTTAAGGTGAAGTATAACGTTATGTCTCGATGTGTGTCAACAAAATGATTCATTCTCTAGGAAGAAACAATAAGCTTTAAGAAATGAATGGATCATCTTCCTGTAAAAAACGCAAACTTAATTATTGTTTTAAGTGAAATGAAGTAAAGTTTATCTCTATTTATCATAGTACGTACTACAGATGGATATCAACGACGAATTTCACAAAGATGGTAAATTGGCAGATGTGACAATCGTTGTTGAGGACCATAAAATACTTGGCTCTAAGACAGTACTTTGCTTAGCTTCCCCCGTGTTTTGTGCTATGCTCGACGGTGACTTTAAGGAGAAAACAGACAAGGAGTTACAATTACCCGGAAAGAATTATGAAGATTTTGTTGAGTTCCTGAGATGTATTTATCCTGACAAGATGAAAAAGATAACCGGTATTGAATTTTTTATATCATTTTTTGTGATAGTATTTACAGAACTAGTCATCACAGTCAGCAACTAGCATACGAAAAACACTTTAATCAATGTATTGTTAGACGTGAAAATTTAATTCTTTAGTTTTTGCAATCCTTTCTAAGGTTATCAAAAATGTTGTCCTGAAATTATTTCGTTAACTAATTTCATGTAAACCTATAATTTGAAACAAAACAGTACACGTGTTTATTTTCAGAAAAGAACGTCTACATGCTTCTTCCTTTGGCTTATGAATATAACGTTGAAAAGATGATGAAACGTTGCCAAAAAGTGCTCAAGAAAATAGTAAAGAACAGGCACACAGGAAATGTGGAGGAATTATATCGGCATATTCATTTGTCTGAAATGTATAGGCTAGACGAATTGAAAGAAAAATGCGTTTATCTGGCCTCAGAGCATACCTTAAAACAGTTCAAAGCTGCTAGAACGGCGCATCAAGTATCAGATGCGAGTCATTTCAAGATTATAGAGCTTGCTTTGAGAAGACATGAGCTGGATAAAACGGATGAAAAAGTTTTTCGAGTCCATCGTGCAACTAAGGAATATGGAATTAGTTTTGATCGCGGTTATGGTACTAACGGTATAAACTGCCAAATGCAAGGACGCATCGACATGGAAGAAGAAAATAAAGAAGATATGTTTAGAGCGCTAAGACTTATAGAACGATTCAAAATTATCACATATGACAAAAGCACGAAGTCACAGTTGTTAAATCAGTTACAAACTGTTAACAGGAATGGGGAATGTATTGAAGAATTTGATCTTCTCCCAGAAAATGTTAAAGATGCTTTACAAAACAACAGTTAAGGTTTATGATACAGTGGATATTTATCATTGTTTTCACCAGAATGAGAGTGTTTTTGTTACTTTTGAAACAAAGTGACTTTACTTTGAAAACTATTAATTTTAACTTACTGTTTGTTTATAATTTTATTCGTATTGCAACAAAAACATTAGTAATAACCATTTGCTTATAATCAGTGTCATTAACGTTAGTGTTGGTATCGTAATTATTCATTTCATCATTATTAATTTCGACAATCATCACCATAATTCACGAATAAGCGATCATAAACCACGTACATACAATTATACTTATAAGAAAAAAACATTTTCTTCTCGGATAGCTGTGAATTTCGTGATTATAGTACAGAAAAAAAAATGATTAAAAAAATCTGCAGTTTTGAAGTTGGTCAAATAATTGATGTTCATACAAAGTTTGGAATCATATACATGCAATTAAAACTTTAATCATCGATTAGTCTCAATGTGATCCTGTTATACAGAACAACATAATAAAATATTCTTTTTTAACAAAATATTTAACTATTACTTTTAATAGATGAAGATGGTTTCGCGAATGAGTCATTTGCTTTCATTCTTAAAATTTTACTACCACTGCATCAGAAAAGCTGAAATATCCCTTTGCATTGTGTGAACTTATATTACTTTCTTTAGGGACTCTGTTTATCTCTATTTTACATGGTCTTTCTTGAACAATATGTATGCTGATTATATCCCCTTATCTGTCGTCGAAATAATATGATGCTTTCGGAAATAGAAGTATGTTTTACTACGGCCAACAGCACTCGAACATGTCGATGGATACAAATAAACATTGTAGGTATCATTATGGGGGTATAAAGTTTCAAGAGATGCCGAAACTTTATAACTTGTACATGTATTTTACAGAAGAGCGTTGAGGAGCACGTGATCTGTAAACTGTACTTGATTGGTTAAAAAAGGAATAATAATAACTGAATTTCTTAATTTTTCCAAAAAGAAAAAAAAAACCCACAAAAACTGAAGTATGTAAATGATCAAATTAAATTGCTAAATGAAACAAACTATTTAAGTAATATTTTACAATGCACTGTCAAAGTACTCGTATTCCTGAAAATGGTGTACGTGATTCATTATAGAAATTAATAGATAAATTTAAAGCTTGCAAACGACATATGGTTTCAAGCTCTTAGATATATTACGATATTCATATGTATAAATAAGCAATATTATGAAATGAATAAAATATTTTAAGTCTTGATTAATGATACTTAAAAAAACAGCAAAACTCCAGGTTCATTAAAACTTGCAAGGCGTTTTTATTGTTACGTATAAATCAAGTAATTAAAGCTAACATATCTCTGTTAATCGGAGAATACATGTAAAATAAATTGAAACCTTTGCCAGACATTTCTACAAGCAAGGACATTCATGTAAGAATTGAGATGAAATGTATGATATGGAATAACATACTAATATTTGCTAGTTTGTTACAAAACTTTCCTTCGTATTTCAATGATCACGAATATTCAGCTTATTGAACTGTTACAAGATAATGATGGAGAATATATGAAAGAATCTTCTCCCAGCAAAAAAGATGCTGTACAAAATAAAAAGCAAGTGACTGTTAAAGAAAAGGCTTACTATAAATAAATGTTTTTTTCTTCATTTGTTATTTTTCAATGTGATCAAAACCAGCTCTTAATACGTGTAAGAAATTAGAAGATCTAAAGATCTAATCTAGATTGGTGGCTTTTGTAATGAAACATTGATCTTTCCATAAAATGTGGGTAAAATGAAATGATCGTTCGCTGTCAAAAAAAATGTTTTCACGTTCTCATTTGTTAACAATTGTACTTACAAAACGCTCGAAAGTGTTTTTGCGACTCGATTAAAAAACTTTGACAAACAAGCACCGGGTCAAAATCCAAAATGGTCACTTACATAAATTTTCCCTTTTTTCCTCAAATATAGATTGGAATTATGAAGAAAAATACCGGTATTAGAGTATCTAATTCATTTCAATCAAATAAAAAAAGCAAAGCTTCGTTACCCAAACTCAAACTTGTTTGCATGGCATTTTTGTACGGCGATGACCGCTTGAGATCAATTTCACATTGACCTTCAAGACTGAAAATATCTTTATAGAAAACTGTTCCAAACATGTCATTCTATCAAATTCCAAATTTATTGTCCAGCCTTTCTGTATTATGTCAGTATATGCAAATTAAACCACTAAACAGGGCAATGTGGTATATGTTGTCTATAATTGTAAATATTCTAGACGCGCCTGGGAACACAAGTTTGACAAGACTGACCTATTTAAATTGATGAAAGGAAAACCTTAATTATTTTTCTTTGATTTTATTTAAAGATTTGTTTTAACCGATTATTTGTTTGTTTTCAGAAAAAGTGTTGACCCCGTCCGGCGGTGGCTCTTGTTAAGATCTACAATGTATCAATATGTCTATCAAATTTAATGAAAGCTACTTTTCTTTTTTAATCCTGTTTGAAAACCACATGGTTAAGCTATCAAAATTCCTTCTAGGGCAACACCTTGCTTTTAACAAGAGCCGGTTGAACCGGGTGATGCTTCCCGACTAGGATTTGGGCACAGAAAAGTATATCTTTAGTAGTTTCAGAATTATGTCCCAGACAATTCAAAGTGTGATAATTCCAAACGTAGGCAATGCAGAGTTACTAGTCTTTGCACTGCACTTCTAATCAATAAGATCTATCTTCCGACTTGCGCGCGACTCGTCGTCTCAATATGTTGATCATTTCTGTAAAATAGTTGTAAAATCCGACTTCAAATAACCAAGTTATGGGCCAGACACAATTTTACTTCAAGGTCATGCTGTGACCTTGACCTTCAAGGTAGCGACCCAAATATTGCGCACGACACGTCATCTCAATATGGTGATCATTACTGTGAAAAAGTTGTAAAATCCAACTTCAAATAACGAAGTTATGGGCCAGACACAATTTTGCTTCAAGGTCATGCTGTGACATTGACCTTCAAGATAGCGACCCAAATGTTGTGCGCGACACGTCGTTAAATATGGTGAACACCTGTGAAAATGTTGTAAAATCCAACTTCAAATAAGAAAGTTATAGGCCAGAAACAATTTTGCTTCAAGGTCATGCTGTGACATTGACCTTCAAGGTAGCGACCAAAATGTTGCACGCGACACATCGTCGCAATATGGTGATCATTTCTGTGAAAAAGTTGTAAAATCCAACTTCAAATAACCAAGTTATGGGCCGGACACAATTTTGCTTCAAGGTCATGCTGTGACCTTGACCTTCAAGGTAGCGACCCAAATGTTGCGCGTGACACATCGGCTCAGTATGGTGATCATTTCTGTGAAATAGCTGTAAACTCCGACTTCAAAAAACCAATTTATGGATCGGAAACGATTTTTGTTCAAGGTCATGCTGTGACCTTGACCTTCAAGGTAGCGACCCAAATGTTGTGCGCGACACGTCGTCTCGATATGATGATCATTTCTGTGAAAAAGTTGTAAAATCCATCTTCAAATAACGAACTTATGGGCCGGACACGAATTCGGGACGTACGTACGTACGTACACACGTACGACGTACACACGTACGTACTGACGGACAACCCGGCGACTATATGCTCCCCCGAAATTTTTCGGGGAGCATAAAAATGGTACAAAACAGGGATACAAGTAGAGGCGTATGAAGCAGATTCAAAAATATTTTTTTTGATAAAAGTCTTAATTAAGTCTTAGGCGTAGTTGTTGCTGATCTCGAATCATTACTGATATTCATCAAAGTCAATAATTGAAAGACATGTACATACTTGCTGCCGACTTGCGAGGGATTGATTGTCGTAACCGATAAATGAGTTTGAAATTTCACTCAAAACTCTTTAACAATCAAAGTCTATGGTCGTTCAATTTTATTCGTAAAAACCCGTGCATGAATCAACGTTGTATTGTAATTATTCAAAAGATAAAAAATGGTAATAAAAGCTAAACGTCGTACACAAATGGTAGTTTAAATGGATATAAGAAAGAATATTTAGGTGCAATTAAAAAAGTCAAATGTAAATTTGACAATTCTATTCTGTGTATCATCAAAACGTTTAATAGAGATATCTCAAACGTCTGGATAATACAAACTACCTGTGCGTTTTATAGATTATTGTCTCTGTATGACTACTGAACGGAATAGATCATTGAATTATATATGATCTGGTATTCAAATTATTAAAACATTTCACTATAGAAAACATTTTATACGTGGTATAATGAACAGTTTAGACCATATTGTTACGACATTGTAAACTGAACATAAAGCTTGAACATTATAACTAAGTCTTGTATAAACATTATCACCATTTATGATAGTTTGTAAACCAAAATCTCCAAAAATGTCTGCAGAGATGAATATCAACGACGAATTTCACAAAGATGGAAAATTGGCAGATGTGACAATCGTTGTTGAGGACCATAAAATACTAGTCTGTAAGGCAGTGCTCAGTATCGCTTCACCTGTGTTTTGTGCCATGTTCGAAGGTGACTTCCAGGAAAAAACAGAGAAGGAAATACAATTACCCGGAAAGAGTTATGAAAATTTTGTTGAGTTTCTGAGATGCATTTATCCTGATAAGATGAAGATGATAACCGGTATGGCATGGTATTTAAGTCTTATATTGTCAATGTTAATACCTGTTCTTTTAAATAATATAGTTTTATCACAAATGATGGTTTTAACGCAATTTTCAGTGTTAACTTGAGATAAACATTTGCATCCAAGTATTGTCAAACGAGTTCATTTATATTTAAGCTCAACTATTTTTATTATATATATAATGTAGAGATATCATATCCGTGTGCCAGCGTTTGCGTCTGTGTCACAATGTTGGTTAATGTTTTCTATCGAAAGCATTGACTTGTCTTATTATTATAAAAATGAACGTTGTTGCACACCCTTTCTTTATACAATGTGCACTCATGAATATATCATGTTGACTCAATATATTGCTATTTAGACGTTTTATATTTATAAGACAGTCAAGGCTTTCAATAGTTTTCTTACCATACCAATTATTTCTAAACTTACACTACTTGTCAGTCACCGTCATCCTCATTTCAAAACGTGTAATAGTTGAGTGTGATGTCTTACAAACAGTTGTTGTTTAGTCTTCGCAATACTTTTAAAGAAGACAATTTAAAAATGGTGTCCTTAATATACTTTATCTATCAACATAGTGTTAATTTTCGTTTTACATGTGTTTATGTTCAGAGGGAAGCGTCTACATCCTTCTTCCTTTAGCTCATGAATATAACGTTGAGAGGATGATGAAACGTTGCCAACAACTGATAATGCAAATAGTAAAGAATAAGCACACGGGAAATATTGAGGAAATATACAGGCACATTCATTTGTCTGAACTGTATAGCCTGGAAGAAATGAAAGAAAAATTCATTTATCTGGCCTCTGAGCATACTCTCTACCGGCTCAAAGCTGCCAGAACGGCATGCCAAATATCAGATGCCAGTCATTACAAGATAATAGAGCTAGCTCTGAGGAGACGAGAGTTGTATATATTTGATGACAGAGTCTTTAAGGTTGGTAATACAAAGGAAGGATCATATCGGGAGGAAATAAATGGGAATTCAAGAAATTCTTACGGAATAACTTGTGAATTAAAAGGACACATCTGCACGGACGGAAATTGTAAAAGAGAGATTTACAGAGCATTGAGACTAATGGAAAGATTCAAAATTACTGAGAATTACAAACGCATCATGTCAGAGCTAATTGAAATGTTACACTTTAATTATGATGATGGAGAATATATGGAAGAATTTCATCTTCTCCCAGAAAATATTAAAGATGCTTTACAAAATAAAAAATAGATGACTGTTATTGAAAAGGATTATAATGAATGAATGTTTCTTTATATTTGTAACTTTTGCGGCAAACAAGCATATATCAATTGGTCACAAATCTAAATTTTCTCTTTTCTCAAAAATAGATTGAAAATAAGAAAAAAACGCTGGTATTAGAGTATCTAATTCATTTCAATTAAATAAAAAAAATAAAACACTGTGATAACCAAACTGTTACTTGTTTGTATGACCTCTTACCTTAGAGACCGAAAATATCTTAATAAAATAATGTTCCAAACTTGGCTCTTAATTAAGTTCAAAAGATTATGTTCGGTTGATTAGTTGTGTCAGAATGTGTTCCGTGACAGCCTATGCTAGTTTAACCACTAAACAAGGCAATAGTGTATTATGTTGTCTGAATATATTCTAGACGCACCTAGACTTTTCACATGCAAAAAATCATCGCTAAGCAACGTCATTTGTAACGTTTCTATAGAAAATTAAACAAACCGAAAAAAAACCTGAGATTTTAACATAATAAAACATAAAAGAATTTAGAGGGTCACTATTGCAACGGCTTGACAATGCTTACGAACTGACATACCCGCCATATTTTACTCTTTTTTTCTAATAGAAATTCACCAATACAGATTGTATTTATGCTTGTTCTTATAAAGGAATCTGCTTTCGGGTAGCAATTGACTTTTTGTATATTGGAACTTTGGTTAAATATGGTTGATTCTGATACAAAAAATTGAACTTGGTGTATTGGTAAGATAAAGATCAGTATCAAAACAATATGTTAGAAAATTTTGGTAAATATATTATTATAAGATTTTCGGGAATAACAGTGCATGTAAATGCGTGACTAAGTAGAAACTAAGTAAAGTGTATATTAGATGGCTTTGTAATGGAAATATTTGTATACTATAAACAATGACATTATCCAACCATTTCATGTTATAACAAGAGCCATGTCAACATGGCCATCCCCCGCCGAATGTGTTTGCTCATTGGAAGAATGTATATGTAGTAGAGCAGAATAATTCAATTTTAAGAGGTCTTTTAGTAATGAAAACTGATGGCTGAAGTGATTACAGATTTGAAACCTATGTGAATACTGATGGCTGAAAATAACAAAGGGCAATAACTGACAAGTAATGCAGGGTATGTTATCATTCTCGTTCGCTGCACTCCTCCTCAATGAGATGTATCCACCTATGAAGTTTCAAGTTGATACATCTTTAACACTTTTTGAGATAAGCTCCGGACAAAATAGTACGAAAAAGAACAAATGGCAATAACTAAAAAATTAAATAGGGAAAAGTTATCATTGTTGCGCACAGAATTCCTCCTCTATAAGATCTATCCACCTATGATGATTCATGTTGACATCTCAAACACTTTGAGTTATGCTCTACTCAGGTGAAAAATTAATTATGAAAAATAACAAAGGGCAATAACTCAAAAATTATGAAAGGTAGAATTATCATTCTTAAGCATTGCACACCTCCTGAGTTAGATCTATCCACCCATGAAGTTTCATGTTGATATCTCAAAGGCTTTTGAGTTATGCTCAGGACAAAAATTAATTTAAAAAATAACAAAGGGCAATAACTCAAAAATTATGCAGGGTAGAGTTATCATTATTGTGCACTGCACTCCTCCTTAATGAGACCTATCCACCTATGAAGTTTCAAGTTGATACCTCAAATATTTTTGAGATAATCTCTGGACAAAATAGTATGAAAAAGAACACAGGACAATAACTCAAAAAATATATAGGGAAGAGTTATCAATCTTGCGCAAGCATTCCTCCTCATTAAGATCTATCCACCTATTACGTTTCATGTCTCAAACACTTTTTGAGTTATGCTCCACTCAGGTGAAAAATCAATTATAAAAAAAACAAAGG